TCCAAGTCACCCTTAGAGGGTGTATGGTGCTGAACAATTCCAAACTAGGAAGAAACAGATATCCTGTTTTTATTGGTTCTCTAACTGAATATCCCAACTCTGTGAATAGGAGATTTCTCTTGATGAGATAGAAAAGTACCACCCTGAGCGTCGACAGATACAAAAAAGCATACTAAAGAAAACTATGTTATAGCACAGTGTTTACAGAAGTGAATCGTATATCAGATCGCATTTATTCGAGACAAGAAGCAGTCGAAATATCCAGTTATATATTTCTTTCTATCTCCCTCTTCAGCGCCCAATTACTACCAATGAAAGAAATTTGACAAACATCACTTGCTTCACTCATCTAAGCGATATCATTTCAACTACAGGTGACACCAAGGATGACGATATACAAACCAGGATCTGAAGGACAAGATACACTTTCATCACTCTTTAAATCACTCTAGAAATCTACTGCACTCAGCATAAACAAAAAGATTTCCGACTTCCCATAAAAACGTTAAATCGGTCAGTTAGTTCTTCTGCATGGGACAGAAACACTTGCACTGAGCGTCATAAAAAGCATTTCCAACAGGCCACTACAGACTTTTACCACCGACAGCTGTCTTCCCTCCATATTGAATGATCAACAAGAAACCCCGGGAACAAACAAACCAAGAACCTATTGATCAACAAACATGTAGGAGAAAATGGAGGTGGATCGGATACACTCTAATGAAACTATTGAATCACACTGAACATCAGGCCATATCTCGAGTGGAAGTCGACGAGTTCCACGTGTAGACAAGAGTGGTATGGTGGGTGAGGACTGTGTCACGAAGAGATGATAGCTTGTGGGTAATCGTGGAACCGGCTAAGAAAGACTTCAGAGAACAGAGAGAAAGGAAGATGTGCTGTTGAAGCACTATGTTCCACTCGGGACAGAAGGAAACAATAAATAGTAGTAATAATAATAATAAAACCTCTTCAGCGCACAAACATGTAACATTGCAGGAATAAACAATTCCATACTGCCATATAATTAGGCCATTTATCACCATTAGGAAAAGCTGTCAAGTTATACTTTGTAACAGGCATACAGAAAAACACAAACAAATCGACTTGAATGCTTACGTTAGGATAACATGATAACAACATACGAGAGGAAACATACACACACATACACATAAGATGTTTTTCATGGAGTGCAACTAAGATAACAGAGTTTAAAAAAGTATGTAATTCGAATCTGTGAATCATCATTCGTTATTTTGATTTTCCAATAAATATACATATATTTAGGTGAATTTATCTAACATTGAGGTGGCAAAGACTACTTGTGCCTTCCTCTCTCTCTTTCACACACACATAAACACAAGATATAAAAAACCAAAATGTCTATCATGAACAAATTAGGGGAAAATACAATTTATACAAAAACCTTATATTTGCTCATAATGATCATTCGATGATTAGGCTAGATAGTTAAGTGCTTATTACAGGAGGCGTAAAACCACTGAGAAAGCACACAAAATGCATCCGCTTTCATTGATCTTTTCAGAATCATCATTATTGTTTATGCGCAAGGATTACTTTGCAAACCCACAATTAGATGTATATTTTTATTGCTTTGCGTTCCTACCAGAAAATAGGGCTTCAAGGTAGGAGCTTGAAGTTTCAGTAGCATTGCTGTTTTTATTTTTACGGAGTGAGTTTGATAATCTTACACCCAACCTCCCTCCCCTCCTTACCGTTCTAATTACCGGAATAGAAAGATTTAAGAGTGCGTCGACAGGGAGATTGAACCCCGAACAGAATGTGTGAATAGCGAGCTCTCTACCGCTGCACCACCGACGCACACAAGTGTGCATCAGGATCAAGAAAGAAAATAAAGATTGGACTATAACTCGAACCATCGATCAGCACGTTGACAAGCGCAGCTTCCTTTATTTTAAGTAAGCAAACCAATGAATGAATGAATAGGTTCCGACTTGAATGGAGTCTAAGTGCTGCCCATAGAATGTTATGTGTGTGTGAGACAGACAGAGAGCCCATGTTTTATGTTTGTTGAGCTTGCTGATTAATGTAAATGTTAATCACGTGAATACATAATTCGTAAAGGATCAGAGTATCACTGGACAGTCATTTTTCTGAAATTTCGAAACTGTTTTTACCAGCGATCATTCAAGACACTAAGTTTATGGGACCACCTTTCACTGATCCTTTATCCTTTAGGATAGAATTGAGTATTCCATTAAAAATTTAAACTTCTATGAATTCGTCACATTCTCTAATTGATATCACATGGTTAACTAAATTAACTAACAATGGAACTTAACTGCCCAGGTTTACTTAATAAAGGTCTCTGACGAAACCTCAGCACGAATACAGGGGACTCGTTTCGCATTTGCCGCTTTACGCCGACTCTGGCGTAGACGAGATGTTCGACTATCGACCAAAGGGCGGGTGTACTGCTCATCAGTCCGCTCCGTCCTCCTTTATGGCTGGCTGTGAGACCTGGCCACTCAGAGTGGAAGACATGAAAAGACTAGCTGTCTTTGATCATAGGTGCCTGAGCTCTATTTCCCGTGTAAAGTGGCATAATAAGGTGAGCAACATGGAGGTTAGGCGTAGAGTTCTAGGTAAACAGGGGAAATCAATCGACGAAGTCGTGAAGCTACAAAGACTGAGATGGTTAGGACATGTGTTACGTATGCCAAGCCATCGCCTCCCTCGACGAGCAATGTTAGCGGATATAGGGTCAGGCTGGAAAAAAGCTAGCGGCGGTCAAACAAAAACTTGGCATCAGTCAATGAAATCCACAACAGTTGGTCTAAGCCACGTAGGAAGGTGTAGACTTCCTGACTGGTTGGGGTCCTCGGGACGGTAAAAATCAATGGTTGGAAACAATTGGTGACATGGCTCAAAATCGTTCTCAGTGGCTAGCGCAGATGCATCCACTCCTTGTGACTTATGATCTCCAATGAAACTGTTTTGTTTTTCTTTATAACTCCTTTGTCTCACACCTCTGCTCACTGTTTCTATTATTCTTTTCTTGTACTTTCTTCTCTTGCTTCGTGTGCTACACGGAGTGTGGCGACTTGAACTTCCGCACATTTGTGCAAAGTTCTATGTCGAAAACAGACAGACAGACAGACAGACAGACAGACAGACAGACAGACAGACAGACAGGTTAATGATGAAGAAGCAACAGACTATAGTAACATGACGACAATCTAGGCAAAAGTGATCAGTAAACCAGCTGCCATTCACTAACACTAGTATAATTCAGACTCTTCAAGGAACTTTTGTTTTACAATCGACACTGAAAAGCATTATCTTGTGCGGATAGTTTGGACAGTACTTGATTTTTGCGAGGGTCATGATAACAAACAAGACTAGGTTATTTTTGACCACAAACTGGGAAAACTATGGACCTTTAGAGATAAACCGGGCAATAATATTAATAATAATAATAATAATAAAACAAGATGTGGAAGAGAAGTAGGCAGATTGAGAAACAGAATCATGAAGACAGACAAGAACACTTCTAAAAGGGGATTCCATCATTTTATACATTTTTCGGAACTGAAGAGGGGAATAAAATTGCAGCATGGTAACATTTGTGAATCGTACTCCATTTCGTTTTATAATTTTATTTATTTATTCCCTCTTATTCATCGCATGGGTAGTAAAATTTTCCAGATGTGTTATTAAGAACACGATCTGTCTATTGAACGATCCTGCCAGTGGAGCCAGTTAAACAAAACAATTTAGTTTATCTAATACCCTGCCTGCAATCACTGTCACGTCAAATACATAGGTCAAACTAGTAGAACAGGGTCAGTCAATCAGACTAACGGAGCACAAAAACAGGGTGAAATCTAGATTAGTTGACCCGAATAAGATAAGAAATCTAGAGAATAGTTCAGATATAGCACTGACTACATGCTAATACACACAACCATAAAGTAGAATGATAAGATATAACAGTTTGGGGGAAGAGATTGCTAACTGAAGCTTTATTTATCGAATCAACTGAAAACACGTGCAATAAAAATGATTCAACACTTGTACACCCCCCCCCCCGAACAACTGGAAAATTCTAATACTACCCGTACGATGAATAGGAAGGAATAAAGAAAACTGTAAAACGGGAGTTTTGAAGTTGTAATAGATGATTTGATTATGAACAGTAATATAAATGAAGTTCAAAACCTTGTCACCTGGTAAATAAAACTGTTACACTCTGTGTGTGTTATATTTATTAGACAAATTAATATGGAAGTAATCTCCTATGATCAAAGTTTCATAATATAAGTAACTGTTTCAAAGTTTGACAATCAAAAGTGTCCAAATAGGCAATACAGACACTGACAAGTGACTTTTCTGTCTATTAATGAATACAAAACCTCAACATTAAATGTTGTCCATCATATATGATATGTTAGTCAACAAAACTACTGTGAAAACTTATACCCTAGGCAACCTAGACACTGAATTATGACTACAATGAACAAATTTTGTACAAAATAATTCATAGGTGAAATTGTTAAAGCGTAAACTTGACCATATGTATGTATATATAGTTATCGGGCTGGTTGCATAGCCTGAAGGTCTTAGAACCGAGCCCGATGGGAGCTATGCATGCAGTCAAACAGTCCAAAATTATTTCAGAGCAGCTGCCCAGTACTCCCCAGTTTCTGCGGGTCACTAATTCGATGACGGAATGTTCTCCGACCACATACGAACCAGGTGGTCCGGGGTTCGATCCCCGACCAGCACACGCTCTAAGCCTCACCTAACAGGTAAGTAAGGCCGGTTAAAGAGGAAAGGTCAGTCAGTAGTGCGCGACTGGCAACTTCACCCAGTAAAAAAAACACTACCATCAGCTAGTAAAACTTTAAAGCTTGAGACCCTATGCAACACTCAAAACGCAAAGCGATGAATGCATCAAATAGAAACACTATATAAAAAAAGGCTAGGTTAAGCTAGACAATTGAAATCTGACTTACTTTTAAAGCTTCTGTAATATGCTGATTGAAGATATCCTCAACAAATTCATGAATAACTCGATATTTATCTGGAAACATTTCAGCTTTAAATATTTGCCTATCCAATTGTTGTCCCTGGGGTACAAAGCGTGGTTCAGGTTTATGATAAATAACATTTCTATATGTGTATTGAAAATAAAGATAACAGACAGAAGAAAAAAGGAAGTAGATGGACTATTTGTCACAGCAAAAACAAACAATTAGATGATGATCTACTTTTCAAAATAGGGTTGTCAGACACATTAAGGTTATCATCAAAAACAAAAAAAGAAGCAAATTTCTTCTGGTGACAATTTAAATCTCTCAACTGATTTACTGAGTTTCAACATAGAACTTCGAGCGAAAGTGCCTCAGGTCACGTTGCTAAACTTCAAGTAGCGCACAAGAGTAGAAGAAATACAGGAAAATGAAATCTCAAAGAATTATTTTATGAGCAGAAATGTATCAGAGAAAGGACAGATAGATAGATAGATGGAGGAACCTGAGGATTCAATGGATCGGGAAGACTACAAAGTGTCAGTGGAACTATGCCATTGAAAACGACTTTGAGTCATAATCACTTATAGTTTCCAACCATTGGATGTAAGGATCACAAGGACCGCGACAATACAGTTTACACTGCGTCACATGGCACACTGCATTAGTAAAAGACTTAATGCATTGAGACCAAGTTTTGGTTTCGAAGAGGACGGCAATAGGGCTTAGGATGTTTAACTTAACACACCCTCATAACCGGATCAATTGATTTTCCCTCCCTACCTAGCAATCGACGCCTAACCTTAGTATTACTTAGTATAATATATCACTTAATACGGCAGATACACTTTCCAACATAATCAAGCATGAGATAACCATTAGATTAAATTATTATTACCGCTAATGATATTGTGAGTCAGTGGCACAGTGGTAGAATGCTCCCCGACCACGCCACAAGTGGCCCGATCTTCGATCCCCGGCCACGGACGCACTCCTTGACCTCGCTAGGCCAGTAGTAAGACTGGTAAAGAGGGAAGGTTGAGCATGAGGCTAGCAGCTGCGCCCCCCCCCGCCATCCCGTAAAAATAAATAACACTACTACCGAAACTTCAAGCCTATAGCTTGAAGCCACCCTATTTTCCACTGGGAAGGTAAAGAAATTTTTAAAAAAACAGAAAGCTAATGACATTATTATTATTAGAGATATCATTAGTATTTACAACAATTAGATTCGCCTCATCATTTACCGTAAAAACAAATATTGTATGGAATGTGATCGGCGTATATGTAATTGTCATGCCGCTAAATTGACAATTGACATCGTAGACTGTGACAAAAAACCGTCTAACAATTCACCTCTTTTTTATTAAAAATTAGACGAATCAGCTAAATTTTGATTTTTCCACTGCCAATTTTTTCTTTACGTGAAAGAGACTGTTATCATTATTGCCTTATTAACTAACTTTTTTTGTGTTATGATGACGTATATTTTGAAAATATGTTATGTAAGATGATTCTACTGCATCCTCTCCAACCAAAATGTAAACGATTTCTTTTTCAACATACGATCTACTATCATTCATTAAGGTATCTGCGGTTTACTTCCTCCTGGGTTGAAAATAGAGGGCACGAACTGTGATGTTCCACAATTTTCGTGTAATGTTGACCACTATATTGATTATTATTATTCCAGGTTAGATCACGGAGTGATATCAGTTAGAGAACCATTGAAAACTAGCTTGGAGCTCTACCAGACAGTTGTTCCATACTAGCTTGGGAATCATCTTCAGTACGCGCACCCACTGAGATTAGAACACAGGACCGTCCAGGTACAAGACAAGCTTGTAGACCATTCAATCAACCAATGGGACCGAATTCAACGACCAATGAATCTGTGGTCTAGCCAGGAACAAGTAGAATCCCCACAAACTAATTCTTGGAAGCTATTCTCATGTTCGCTAGTGACTTGTTGCAGTGAGAAATTGTGACCAGTGAGGTCCATCCAGTTGGGAGTAAGAATGTAGTTCCCAAAGATGACACTGGTCGTTGGTCACGCTAAAATCACGAATTGGTAGAAGTTAGAATTCATGGGTTGACCATTTAGTCGGGTCCCAGAGGCTACATGGTCCATAAGCTCGCCTTGTAACGCGAAGGTCCTGTGTTCGAACCCCGGCAGTGGGTGCGTAATGCCTATGATTCCCAAACTAGGATGAAACAGTTATCTAGTAGTACTCCCAGCTGGTTTTCAATGATTCTCTAGCTGATATCACTCCGTGGTCTAACCTGAAACAAATATAATCCCTACAAACTAATTTTTTTCCCTTCACGTTCCCCAGTGGAACATAGGGTTTCAAGCTAGTGGCTTGAAGATTTTGTAGCAGTGGTGATTATTTTTACAGGATGGGGTTGCTAGCCTCATGCCCAACCTTTCCTCCTTACCAGCATTATTTCTGGCTTAGTGAGGTAAAGAAATGCATCTGTGGCCGGGGATCGAACCCCGGACCATGTGCATGGTAGGCGAGCGTCCTAACTGCTATGCCACCGACGCGGTGGTATATTATAATTACTATTATTCTCACTGGAATTCAAGTGAGACATACGACTGCAAACAGTAAATCTCCATTTCTTCTTCTCCTCCACACTGATTTTTTGGTGGCTCCACGATTGATCGTAAGCTTCCTTCGCTTCTTCATACGATTTTTTCCATGTCACTCGCATCGTTTTCTAATCACGTCTCACTCAAGGGCCTAGTATAGAGCACCGAATGTCACCCAACAGTCTCCTGAGTGCATATGTAGTCCAACTCCACTTCAATTCTGTATAACTGTTGGGCGACAGATTCTTAGATGGTTCGCTGCAACTAATTTGTATGCATTACACAACACATGACCAGTGACTCTACATAACAAAAATCTTCTTCACCCAAACACAACATTTACCCTTAAGTTATCAAAAAATGCATGTCAAAGTTAAGTAAACCAGTCCCAGTAGCTCAATGGTCTACGAGCTCGCTAGTCTTGTAACCATAAGGTGGGTGAGTACTGCTGAAGAGTCCCAAAATAGGACGGAAGAGCTGTCCAGGACTCCCAGGTTTTCCTGTAGTTCTCCAACTGATGTCAGCTCATGATGAAATCCTCCATACAATCAAACAAAATACCTACAAAACCAAGACTTGAAAGTTATATATTTATCCCTAACTCATCTTATAGTGATGAGTTTCTCTTCATTTACAATTCCAACTGAGATTTATTGAATGATTAAGCCATACTAAATAAGAAAGAAAAAACGACACCACAGTGAACTGCATTACATGCATATCATTTGGCTCACAGTGATCCTACTGAGCACTTGATTGTAGTGTAATATAGATCAATACTCATATATGACTCCAGGGCCACACACACACATACTCACATTGGTCCTCACAGTGCAGTTCATTAATTAACGGCTTAGATAATGTAGTGAAGCTAACCGCTGAGTTTGGCAGTTAACCAAGTTGTGAACAAATATGATTTACATTGAGGTTTTATGTTCTGCCTCATATAATGAATAAAGCTGAACGATTAACAATAGACAACTATAGGCTTCCTGGACAATTGGTTCGTCTTAAAATTCGAAACCCGAGAAGATAACTACTACTACTACTATTAGTTCTTTGATATTCAAACCAGTTACCATTGTGTTAGGATGGATAACCTTTCGTTGTTAGCCATGAAGTCATGATTGATGCATGCACTATTGGATAGTTTTTGATTGGTTTATTTTTGGCTTATATTCCTGAGGATTTGCAAATGGCACCACACCGTTATAACACATTGTGCTTTCTTTTTATGTACAAGCAACCATTCAAAACGGATTTCACTAGTAAACACTAAATGAGTTACACAATTTAATCACTAGTGCTGACTGATATAGCCAATTACATTGCTTCGTTATTTAAGATTCACGCACAATATACTACTCAAAAAATCTTGGCAGTAGCACACTACTCCACAATGCTAGTAGAAATACGACAGATTACACTTAATTCTTAGTTCAAATGATGTTGCCTTTCGAATTTTTACTAAAAACAAGAATTTATATTTTCTAATTGCCAGGCTAGGGCTTCCACAAACTTTAGGATACGCCCCAAAACACGTTTTTTGGATGGATAGATTTAAAAGATCTGTTAACGTCAATTTTATGTCCTGTCCCATCTATAATATGTTTCGCAACAGAGGAGCTAGGTCTCCTGTTCTCACCAATAATGGGTTCTGAAGATTCCATCTGTTTTTGGAGACATTTAGTAATATGCTCTGAAGCCAGCTCTTACTTTCGGAGATTGATGAGTTCTCCCTGTATATGTGTGTCCACACGTACATTCAAATTGGTAAATACAGTGGGATGTGACACGAACTCTGGTTGAGAACAATCATCCAGACACGTTCATCAGGAGATATAATCAGTAAAACACCAAGACCCACTGTACAAGTCACCCCCAAGAAAGACGTGTACATCAAGCTACCCTATGTGGGTCATGATAACAGCTAGATAACTAGACAAAGATAGAACGCTGCTGTTAAAAAGAACTTTTATGCGGCTAGTATCATAACAATTGAGGACGTGAAGCCAATGTATACATATAAGCCCTTTGGACATGCAAAAAATGATGTGACATCTAACTGTATTTACCAATTTGAATGTACGTGTGAACACACATACATAGGGAGAACTCATCGATCTCTGCAATAAGGGCGGGCTTCAGAGCATATTCCTAAATGGTTCCAAAAACAGATGTAATGTCCAGAACCCATTAATGATGAGAAGAGGAGATCTAGCTCCTCTACTGCGAATCATATTATAGAGACAGGATGTAAAATTGACGTTAACACATCTTTTAAACCTAACTATAAAAGAATTTATACTGACCAATGTTTAAATCTGGCACTGAAATTCTTCTCTGTCTGTCTGTCTCATCTGTGGTCTGGATATCTAACAAGTTAAAATAAACTTCAACGCATCATGTGCATATATGCATATGTAAGTGCAATTAGACAAAATTAATGGAGAGCAAAACTAGTCTGTAAAATAATTTAAAAAATGAAATATTGACTGGTTTTCAAAATATTCCTCTCTACCTTTATATATATACAGAGGAAATAT